TTCAAAGCTTTTTCAAAGCTCATCTAAGTCTTTTGTGTTTTACACACGTTTTAAAAGTGGGTCGACAAATGGCTATAAAAAGCCTTGAGAGTATTTTGACTGGATTAAAGTATTTTGACTGGTCAAGAGGCTATACATCGTTATTTAACTCTAATTTTAACCGATTCTGACCTATGGGTTTCTATTCTATTCTGCCCTCCACCTCAAAGGCCTCTGTCCACTCTGATACACCACATTAAGACAGCACCAACGCCACCAGGCTGGCACATAGCAGGGAAAGCTCTGAGCATCCCAGAAGGCTGTCCCTTTCCTTCTCCAGTTCCCACCAGCAGACCTGGCCTTCTGCAGGACTCCTGCACTTCACCAACAACACAGCCTGTGGCTATAATCCAGCTGCCAGCCCCCACTCCCTCCTCAATTCCATAAGAAATACTTGACTCGGCTCAGCGCGGCTAAGGCGCCGGCCACATACACCTAAGGTGGCGGGTTCGAATCTCCAGCCTGGGCCCGCCAAACAACAATGATGGCTGCAACCAAAAAATGGCCAGGCGTTGTGGCAGGCGTCTGTGGTCCCAGCTACTTGGGAGGCTGAGGCAGGAGACTTGCTTGAGCCCAGGAGTTGGAGGTTGCTGTGAGCGTGATGCCATGGCACTCTACCCAGGGGGATAGCTTGAGGCTCTGTCTCAAAAAAAAAAAAAAAAAAGAAATACTTGACTCACTCCAACTGAGCCTCAAAAAGCTTCCTGGTGCTCTGGCTTCCTCTGCATCCAGCTCCTCAGAGTAACTTCTCAGAAGATCCCCTCACTATTCATCTCACACTGTGGGCTCCAGAAAGGCCCTGGCCTTGTGCTGGCACATCCGTCTACCCTCCATTATTTTCACGTTTGTAGTCAAGCAAATTTACTACTGCATGGAAGCATTCGTGTTTTCTCTTACTTGTAGTTTATTTTGCTTAGTAGATGGCCAGTGGGTGGAAGCACATGAATGTTCTTTTGTGGGGCCATTTCCTAAGCATGAAAACATTTCTTAAGGGTAGAAGGGGAGGTGGGGGCGGGATGGAGGGGACTAAGTTTAATCACATCTTATTTGACCTGCCAGTGAAAAGGATCCAATAAAAAGGTTTAAAAAGAGTCCACCTTGTACCTCCGGTTAGTTCAATGCCCCATTAGTCCAGGTAATGACTTTATACCTACAGGACAAAGATTTTTTTTTTCTTTTTCTTTGAAAAGAAAGAAGAACTCTCACAAAAATAAAAGCACTATAAAGAGAGAAATAGACTTTTAATTTCTCCACCTAAAGTGTGCACGAAAAGTCCTGACTTAATACTCAAATCTTCTTGAAAATCATCTGACTTGAAGACCAGCTGGAATGGGCTCCCCTCCACACACACACACACACACACACACACTAATTTGACTATGTTAAACATACGTATGAACTGTCTCTAACATTTTTGGTTTAAAATTCTTTAACAGTCACAAAGTACAAATTGAGACTTTTTTTTTTTTTTTTGGCAGTTTTTAGCCAGGCCTGGGTTTGAACCCACCACCTCCAGCATATGGGGCCAGTGCCCTACTCCTTTGAGCCACAGGCACCGCCCCTCAAGTTGATACTTTTTGATTGTTTATGTCTGTTGAACTGGGTGAAGTAATTGCTAGATAGGAAAAGGTGTAATTTAGATAGATATCTATCTGAAATTATCTATGTCCAATATGCTTGTTTACTTGCATATATCATCCATCTGGACACCACCTCTTGATTTCCCGGTATAAACTCCAAAAGATAAAAAAAAAATACAAAAACCTCCATCCCATGCACCCATGTCTAAAGTGCCCAGCCGCTCAATGATTCTTTGATGAAGAGTGTTCCTAGAGCTCAAATTGGCATGAGCTACCCAATAGTTACACAATTCACACTGTGACATCATTTGTAATAAAACTCAAATCATCCTCATTACACACTTACTAAGTACTTATTAAATCATTTAGTTTAAGAGATGAAGGCTAAGTATTTTCTTGCCGTAGAGCAATAAGATGCATTTGCCCAAATCATAATCGATGTGTAAAACATTCACTACTGGGATGGTTCAGGTTTATAGCCCTCAGTATTTTAAACATTAAAAGATTTATTAACTGGAAGAATACAGATCAAAGTGGATCCTGGATATTTAGACAGAAAATTAACAAAGAATGTTTTTAAGAAAGTTAAGTATAGTCAGTCCAAAAAATTAAAAGGAAGCAAAATGACTAAAGAAAATCTTATTAATTAAGGCACTATCATATAAAGTTCTATGATTTAGATACTGCAAGTGGCTAGACCTTAACAGTACTAGGAAATGTTTATGACATAATGTCAAGGGGAAAATGCAGGAACACATCTAAATATAAATGTGCATATAAACTATAAGTGTACACATAAATATATGTATGCTATATTCCCTAAATTCTAAGACTCCATGAATTCTGAAATACACAGTCATTTTAATAGCAGCTTTTTTGGAGGAAAAAGAAATAGTACCACATAAAATACAGGCAACTCTAGAATGCATTAGGATTACAAAATTAAACCAAAAGATTGAGAAGGTGTGAGTTTTGTACTGAGGAAAATGTTGTTAAGGCAGGGGTTCTCAAAGTTTTTAAACAGGGGGCCAGTTCACTGTCCCTCAGACTGTTGGAGGGCCAGACTGAGGCCCCAGGACAAGTGGGCTGCTAAGCAGGACAGGTAGTGGCAGCAAAAACAACTGGCAGGCCAGATAAATGTCCTAGGCGGGCCCCATGTGGCCCACGAGGCCGTAGTTTGAGGATGCCTGTAAGGAGTAAGGAGGTCTAGTTGAGGTGGTGGGGGATGAAAGACTGTCCAAGAAAACATACGAAATGTAGGTGCTTTTTCCCTAATGTAATTAACCATTATTTTTATTTCTCTAAGTGTTTATTTTCCAAATCCTTTATATTGAGTAAGCTTAAATAAACTTTATCAAAAATTTGAAAAGCATTTTTTCCTAACAAGAAAGTAACACTCCTCTATATAAGGTTGTATCGCACGATACCACAAATTCCTATTTTTTCAGTTCAAGGGCCACCTCTGTCAATCTTGGTTTAAAATATTTCAGGCCATGCCCTGGCTCTTGGAGCTGGTCCTTCCTAGAAATTCCAGTCTCCTGACAGCTGGGGAATATTTAGCATTTTGCTTTAATTTGTTTTTACATTTATCTTCCTTACTGATTTGGGGCTTCCAGGAGCAGCGGGACAAATTTTTAAAGAAACGGAATGCCAGAGAACATTCTCTCATGCTCTCTGTGCATCTACAATAACAATCATATAACATTCATTCTAAAGAGGCCAAACGCAGATCTACCTAACAGTAAATATTTTTCTGGTGTAATCAACTCAAGAGATATTTAAATATATTTAACACATTAAATAAGCTTTTCCTACCACTAGTAAAAATAATTTGCTGTAGAATTTCAGTTTTCATCGATGATTCTAACTTTAAAGCCCAAAAATTAAAGATTACCTATTATCTCAGGATACATACCTTGTTGGTTTTAGATTTGCTTACGTTAAAAATTCTCTGATACTAACCCATAAATCAGAAACCTGCATATTTCTCTCAATCCTTACTGAATTCATACAGCTATGGTTTGCCAGACATTTTAATTAATAGGTGCTAACTTCATACTATTGTTCGCTTAAAGACTAGCCCCCATTAAACATGAAAAGCTTAGATTTTCTTTAGCTCCTTTTAAAATGCAAACTCTCAGAATTCTGTTAACAAAGACACTAATAACATGCTATCAATTTTATTTACAGAAACACAAGACAAGAACTAATTCCAAATGACAGTTTTAGCAGGAGAAAGCAAAAGAAGAAGAAAAAGCTTCAGGAGAGTGGTAAGAATACCCAATTTCTCACTTTTTGACCAGTCTTTGGAGTACTACGGAATATTATGGCATTACTGAAATAAAACGTAGTCAATTACTTTTTAAAAGTTTTAGAACTTGGTATTTAGTTCGAAAGTTCCAGTCCACACAAACAAATGTAAGGTATTATTTAAGACGTCAACTTTACAGAAAAGTACACAGCAAGAAACTATACAGTTTTTTGTTGTTGTTGTTTTTTAAAGACTGGAATAGGTTTTAATTTCAATTCTGGTTATATACAGGGTATTTTGAAGGGATTTTCTTTTTTTTTTTTTTATTAAATCATAGCTGTGTATATTAATGCAATCATGGGGTACAGTGTGGTGTTTTCATATACAATTTGAAATATTACAGTTTTAAAGGGAAAGCCTGATTTTGATCACTATGAGGCCAGAACATCACATTGGAAGCACTCTGGTCAATCATGTGTTATGTATTTTTGTTGTTGTTGTTATTATTGTTATTATTACTGTTATTAGAGATAGGGTCTTGCTATGTTGCCAAGGCTAAACTCAAACTCCTGGGCTCAAGCCTTCCTGCCACCTCAACCTCTGGAGTAGCCAGGACTACAGGGAAGCACCACTGTGCCCACCACTCTGCTCATTCATTTTAGACTGATCATTATAGAAACAGTTAAACTTACTGACTCACACATATCAAAATCTCAAAGACTATGCTGAAACATACTAGAATGTTACATTTGCTATTCTTATTTTTTTTTTTACCACCATCAATGGTCACTTATTTATTTTAATTTTTATGATTTATTTTTTCCAGTTTTGGCCAGGGCTAGGCTTGAACCCGCCACCCCTAGTACATGGGGCTAGTGCCCTACTTCTTGAGCCACAGGCACCACCCCACTATTCTTATTTTGAAATTAAATCCAAGAAGGACCTTTCAAAGAAGAAAACAACAACAACAACAATGAAAGTCCAGGTACAGTGACTAACATCTATAAACCCAGCACTTTGGGTGTTAGTTGTAGGAGGATCACTTAAGGTCAGGAGTTCAAAAGCAGCCTGGGCAACCTTAGGTGTCCCTGTCTCTGCCAAAAAAAAAAAACTTTATTAAAATTAGCCAAGTGTTTAATTCGGCAGCACATATGCTAAAATTGGAATGATACAGAGAAGATTAGCATGGCCTCTGCACAAGGAGAACATACAAATTCAAGAAGTGTTCTATATTTTTCTATTTAGAGTATAAATGTTTTTTAAAAATTTAAAAAAATAAAATAAAATTAGCCAAGTGTATACCTATAGCCCCATCTACTCAGGAGGGATCAGAGGAAAGAATACTTGAGCCTAGAAGTTTGAGGGTACAGTGAGTTATGAACATTCCAGGCTGTATCCAGAAATTAAAAATAAATTTAAATAAAAAGGGGAGTAAGTACCCAAACATATATGCCTGTGTAGTTTTGGCAACATGACTCAACAGTGAAGTCCAACTTCTAGGCTTAATCATTTAATACAAAAAAACAATTTTTCAATTGATCTCAGGTAGGCAACCCAACAGTAAATCTTCCCTAACTGAACTGCTTCTTCACATACCAAGGTCATGACAATGGTTCTGATGCCTTCACCATTTGTCCTAGAAACCTGTCATCTTAGCCCAATTCCCTCCCACTGATCAAATCTGGAATTTGAGGCCAGCAGTTTAGTGTCTTTGGGTGTTACTGACTGAATTGTGTGCCCTCTCCCAGCCTCCGTTAACATTCATCTGCTGAAGCCTTAACTTCCGATGTGACTATATTTGGAGATAGGGCTTTCAGAGAGGTAAGGATGGTGAAATGTGGTAATAAGGGTTCAGCCCTAATCCAAGAGGATTGAGGAGCCAATAAAAGGAGAAGGAGGAAAGAAAAGAAAGGCCACATGAGGCCACAGGGAGAAGGGGCCGAGGACCCAGGGAAAAGGGGCCATGCGCAAGCCAAGGGGAGGGGCCCCGGAGAAACCAAACTTGCCCACACCTTGGTCTTGAACGGCCAGTCTTCTTAACTGTGAGAAAATAAATTTCTGTTGTTTAAGCCACACAGTTTGTGGCATGTTGTTCTAATTGCCCTGGTAGACTAATAAACCTTGCTTCAGTGTCCTCATCTGTTTATCATGATCTCCCAAAGTTGATGATTATAAATGCAGCTCCAAGTTGAAAACACGGTGAGTGTGCAGCTGTACAGATTATCCTTATCATGTCCCCTCAAACACAAAAATTCAATACTAAATTCATACTATTGTTCAATCAAGAAGCTGCTGTCCCAACCGTGCTCATGAGTTACTTTCGGGGCTTCCCCTCTGTATTCAGCATTTAATAACCTAAGACCCCCCCCCCACATCCCTTAGCTTACAACAAGACACAGGTGAACAGGAGTCCTGCTGTGAGACAAGTGCCATGTTGTCCCACACTGTCACACATTTCAGTGGGCATTACTGGGCCTAAAGATCAAGAGCCAAAGACCAGGCTCAGCACCTGTAGCACAATGGTTACAGCACCAGCCACATCCACGGAAGGTGGCGGGTTTGAACCCAGCCAGGGCCAGCTAAACAAAGATGATAACTGCAACAAAGAACAGCCGGGCATTGTGGCGGGCACCTGTAGTCCTAGCTATTTGGAAGGCTGAGGCAAGAGAACCGCTTGAGCCCAAGAGTTCGAGGTTGCTATGAGCTATGATGCCACTGTACTCTACCAAGAGAAACATAGTGAGACTGTGTCTCAAAAAAAAAAATCTAACGACCAAGAGGACTGGATTCACACTGAACTTAATTCATTTACAAACTGTGTGGTCCTAAGCATGTTAATAAAACTCAATGCACCTCTATTTCCTCAACTATAAAGTGATGGCAAGAGAGATCTGATATCCTTAATGTCACATCTTGATTTCAATAATGTCTGAGCAAGTATCTGGAGGGCAGGAACAGCACAGTAAACAGTTACTATCCCTAAATAAAGCTGGCCACCAGGACACATGAAAGCCTAGGGGCTTGTTCTTAATTTGAACCTACTGCCTTTGCACACCAATAAGAGGCCTCCAAATTTTAATGACTTCAAACTGCATTCACTTCAACCATTTCCAACTACTTAAACTCTGTGCTGCACACTCAGGGAAAAAAGTGGAAGAGGTGGGGTGAAGTGTTTGTACCAGGTCAAAGGGTGTTGAATGAAACAGACAAGAAGTCTGCACTATAATAAAGGCATAAACAGAGAACCCTGGTGTGGAAAAGAGAAAGACTAGGAAGGTGAAGACTCACCACTGGCTCCCACAGAAAGGTTTAAGAACAGATCAGGCTCAATGCCTAAAAACATCCCAAGAGTCATTAAGCCACAGTGGGCCCCAGGTATGTCCATGTTTAACACGTGGCCAAAGTAATCCTGATAGAAAGGCAGGTTTGAAAGGCACTGATACTGACTTCAGGCTGCCCACAAGGCCAGATCATCAAGGACTTGAGTGGTGGCAATGACAGGATCCCACTAAATTAGAAAATTGACTTCACCAATTATGGAGGTAAAGCCTACAGCAGGAGGCTAACAGTAGCAGCTGGAGGGGCTGACCAGAAGTGGATGCAATAACCTGAGCCCTCTTCTCCCATTACACCTGTGGTTCTCAACCTTCCTGACGACACTATGTATTTTCATTGTTACAAAGGGGTCACGACCCCCAGGTTGAGAACTGCTGCTAAACACTGAGGCACAGTCATAGCAACGCCCAAAGGTGAGGCAGCCTGAGTCTCACCAATGGGACAAGCACCTGGAACCCACCAAAATTGACAGTGTAATTCTGAATGTAAATATAAATAATGTTTCAGTGGACTTGATGTTTATGCTACTGGATCTTAGGTGTACTTGGACACAAAAGGACTATTAATATAAGACAAATCTAAAAACGTAATAATAAGCCTGTAAAAATAAGCCATCATTCACTTGGACTGACAATTTGGCTGAAATAAAATCCCACTCTCTAAGTTCTGAGAGCTGGAGTCCCAGTATGTCCAGTTTAAGATTTCTAGGTCCAGTTAACCACATCAAAACAAATTTTTAAAGCAACTAAGCTCAATAATAAAGTTCTATACTATAAATTGCCCTGCTACCAGAGGAATTATCTTTTAGAAAGAAATAAATGTTTGTTTGACACAGAGTCTCCCTCTATGCCCTAAGTAGAGTGCCAAGGCATCATAGCTCACAGCAACCTCAAACTCTTGGGCTCAAGAGATCCCCTTGCCTCAGCCTCCAGAGTAGCTGAGACTGCAGGTGTCCCCACAACACCTAGCTAGTTTTTCTATCTTTAGTAGAAACAGGCCCATGCTTTTGCTTAGGCTAGTCTTTTTTTTTTAAACTTTATTCAAATTAGATGCAGGTAATATTTAGGTTACACGGTGCTCACTTCCAGGGTAAAGTTTCATTTGTAGAAGAGCTCAGGTGATCCACCCGTCTTAGCCTCCCAGAGTGCCAGGATTATAGGCATGTGCCACCACACCTGGCCCAGAAAGAAATAATTTTAATGGTGAAAGATAAATTTTTATGAACAAACTTGGCAATATAAATATTCCAGATGATTCTAAGAACAACTTTTATCAAAGCTCATTCTAACAACTGTAAACGCGAGAGTTTTGGGAAGGAATGACTCGGGGGAGGCAAAATGTCAAAAGAAGACACTGTAACAAATCATTTTCATTCAAGGCAAACATCTTTTTTGACAAATAACCTAAAAGAAAGAATATAAGAATAGGCTATCTCTTAGAAAAGTAACTTCTAAAATCCTAAAGCTGACCTCCATCTTATTTATCATACTCAGCAACTGGTGTGACTAATTGAAGCGGTAAAGTAGATAAAAAATAAAGAAAACCCATAACCTTGTGACTAAGAGTAGCTGACATTTAGACAGAGCTCTCCCTGCAAAGATGAGCTTCCAAGGAAAAGCTTCACCAAGAAAGGCATGAAGTACAGAAGAATGCAGGCGAAACAACAGGAAATAAAAGGCTCCAGCGGGGATGGGCACAAGTGCTCTGTACATCCTTTCAGGGGCTCTCTGTCAGGTCTAGAATTGCCACCAACCTCACCCCAACCACAAAACCTAAATTTCTGAAATAAACTAGACTAAATCAGTAAAACCCTTAAGATTTCATTTGCAAGTTTTTAAATAGTAAAAGTAGTTAAGTATCACACTCAACGTTGAAGGACATAACAAACTGTCCTATAACACCATGGGCATTAAATTACGTGTCCTATAGAATATTTAGGGTCATATGTGGAATCCACTTAAAATACCTTCCATCAAAAGACTCAGTTCACCTGTGCACTTCAGGTCAACTAAATTCTACCCTTCAAATAAAAAGCAGCAGAAAAATAAAAAAGATAAAAAACACCAATTCTCTTGTCCTGGTGTAATTATTCCGAATCTCAGTTATCTCAGCTATAAAATGGAGGTTACAGTACCTAGGAGAAATAGGAGGTAACGTTGAGATTAGGGCCTGATACCCTGAATGCAGGACACCACACCCATTAACAGAGCTAGTTCCTAAGCCTCAAAGCACAAGCTCAAGTTCAGGCCAATGTCTTACCAGCTGTGTGATCCTAGCCCAAATGCTTAACCTTTCTATTCCTCAAGATGGCCTTTGGAAGACTGTCACAGTACCACGCTCACAGATTGTTAGGAGAATTAAATGAGTTAGTATAGGCAAGGGGTTTTGAGTGTGTAATAACATTTTTTTTAAAGGATAGCTATTATTTTAGGCAGCAAATTCAATATTACAACTCTATTTCTAAATCCAATAATTTTGAAAGTGGAGCTTCTATCACTATGTCAAAACCAAAAGCACAGCTGTGGGGAGAATGTGCCCATTACAGCTAAATGGAAATGTGAATTCATTTGCATGGAATTGTGCATGCAAAGCACCTCCTCTTCCTTGTTAGGCTGAACAACATGATTACACTTATTTTGGCAGATATAATTTTTTGATTGACTCTTTTTGGGATATTTATAAGATACAAATGTATAAATCAATGTACAAATGGAATCCTTCATCTAGAAACGTTTTTAAAATATTAAATTATTTTTTTAAAAACAAACCAACTAGTATAGTTATAAATAAAATGTGAGTTTATCCTCTTTTTTTCTCTTTCAATAAGTAATTTTTTAGTCTTATCTGAAGCAATTAGGAAAATTTTATCATCATCAATATCTATATACATACATGCACCCA